GAGGCAAATGACTACGGAGGATAGAAGAAAGCAGGAGAAAGGACGGAATGAGGGAAGCATCGCCAGCTGATGCTGCAAGTGCTCGTCAGGATTCCTGGAAAACTCCTTTATTATTGGGTTAATGAAAACTGGTTCGCCAGCCTCGTGGATGCCCAAGCCTACTTTGAGGGGGCTGGTTCCCCTGCCTGCCTCGCTGATCACGGATGTCGGTGGCAGCCCCCGCGCTGCAGATAGGTGGCATGGTACGAGCCACCTCTGGAGCGGTGGAACCGCGGCGCCTGGAGTTCAGCACGAAGTACTGCGAGGCCGTTCCCGTGATGGCGAGAGCCGAGGGCCTCATGATGGCGGGCGGCCCCAAAACGATGGCATCTCCATATCAGTCGAGCCGAGCTCGCGCGGCGGGCCCGCGGTCGGTGATGGACCCTGCTAGCTCGCGACGGCACCGCTCGGGGGCCCGCCGCCCGAGGTCGAGATCTACCTGGTCGTCTTCGCGCTGAAGGTGCTGGAGCAGCTGCAGTCCTTGGCGGACTCGGACTTCTTGGAGGAGGAACTGGAGGCGCTGCACTTCGACGCGTCGGAGGCCCTGCCCGAGGCGACGGCCCGGGTGGAGGGGGCCGAGGAGTGGCTACAGACGGCGGGGCTTGCGCCCCGCATCAGCTGCCCCCCCCCCCACCCCACTTAACCGCCCTGATCGCTTCGACGGTGGCCGCGGCCCTCGCCCCAGTCACGGAGCGGCCTAGCGCGTCGGAGAGACGGCCGAGTGGCGCCGCTGCGCCCGCAGGTCCGCCACCCCCGCGGGCCGCGGGGGCCGCGCCAGCTCCGGCGCCGCCCTTAGCGGAGGGGAAGGCTGCTGCGGGGGCCGCGGCGAGGCGCCTTCTCGCGGCCGCGCCGAAGCGCCCGGGGGAGCCGCGGCCCCTCGCTGCGCCACCGCCGCCGCCCCCTCCTGTGCCCATCGACGCCGACGCCGAGGACCTGAACGACACCCGGACGCAGCTCTTGCTCCATGCCCAGGCGCTGGTGAGGCTGATGGGGACTCACGGCACTGGCTCGAGCGGGGGCGTGGCGGGCCCCTCAGGAGGAGGGGGAGGCGCCGACATGCTGGGCGACCTGGCGCGCCCTTCGACGAGCTCCGTCGGCGTGCGCGGCTCGGCCGACCGACTCAGGCTCCAACGGCTTCTGGAGGCGCAGCTCGGGGCGCTTTCGCCGTCGGTGGCCCGCGACATGGCCCCCCCTTCGCGCTCCAAGGGGAGCGCGCGATGCGCCGGAGTACTTGGGGCGCTTCAGGGGCTTCGCCGACAGCTTCGCAGCGCGGCTCGCGGCGTGCCCGGCCACGTTGGCGGCCGCAGCGCTGATCCATGTGATGCGCGGGGGGCGCGACCAGGCCACGGGCGCCGTAGCCCCGGCGATGGCGGCGCAGGAGCAGGCCACGCTGGGCCACGGGCGGCGGGCCACGGCCTGGCCGCTGACCCTGCAGGAGGACCCCGCGACCGCCATGCTCGGTCGCAGGGTCGAGCAGGCCCCGCTGCGCGGCTACTCCGCTCTTGCCGGCCCCGAGTGGACGACGGTGGCCCTCGCCTACCTGAACGAGCCCGACGTACTTCCCAACCGCCAGCCGCAGCCGCGCGCCGCCCAGGCCGCGGCGGCGAGGGCGTCGGGGGCCGAGCAGGCTGCCGAGGCGGAGGGCGGACGGCCTCGCCGCGCCCTAGGGCGGCCGAAGGCCAAGGGGGAGAGGCGACCCCTTTCGGCCAATCGGTTGGCGCAGGGTGCTCGCCAGGATGGTCCTCCGCGTCGGCTGTTCGTTTTCGCGGCACCTGAGGGCTGCGCGCGGCGCCGGGCGCGAGGCTGGGCTGAGCTTCGCTACCGCGCTCTTCCCGCTGCCGCTGCCCTGCGCCGAGCAGGAGCTGCAGCTGCTCGCCCTCAGATCTCGCCGCGGGCGCCGCCGAACGCGCTGGCAGGAGGCCAGGGCCCGCGCTGGCAACGTCATCGCGACGGCCCTGAACTTCACGCACAGCAACAGGCCGCCATACCCCTTCAAGCGGGACCTCGGGAGAGCTCTCCCCCAGCCAGCGGCTAGTCGTCGGGCGGATCGAGCTGTGCCTCAGCGCGCGGGGCCGCGCTGCGGTTTCTTCGGGCCTGCAGCGCGGCCGAAGGGGATTTGGAACATTCGACGAGATTGCCCGTCTGGCAGGGGCCAGCGGTGACCTCCTGCGCGACTTGGACCCTAACCATCGGGCGCCGCTACCTGCTGCCCGCACCAAGCCTGCGAGCGCGGCAGTTGCACCGCTAGGCCTCTCGCGCGTGAGGTTCTCCGAGGGCCGCGCTCATTGGGGCGCCAAGGACTTCGCGCCGCCCGAGCTGCGGCTGCCCCTCGTCGAGCATCGCTGCCTACGCACGTGGGCGCCTTCGCCTTCCTCGCGGTCCTGGCCCTCGCCGCATATAGTGAGGGTGGAGGCGGACTTGCCGCTGCAGCGCCTGTGGGGCGCCGCGGGCCTTCTGCGCCTCGCCCCCGCGCGCGCCCCTGTCCACGCGGCGAGCCAGGTCGGCGACGTCTTCAAGGGCGCGGATCGCGACGGGCAGATCTTCGACCGCCGAGGGTCATATTGGTTCGAAGGACCACTGACCAAGGGCCCTTCGGGGGGACTTGCCGCGGGCCCGCGCATGGCCGACCTTCGCGCGACGAGGGGGTCGAGCACGTCGCGGGCGTCGGCGCTGGATCGGAAGGACTTCTACCACCATTTCGCCGCCAGTAACGCACGGGCGTCGACCAACATCTGCGACCCTTGCCCGCGATTTGCGGGCCCGCGCGGACTTCCCTTCCGACCCCGCGAGGGCGCTGGGGGAGCGGGGGGGGGCGCCGCCGCCCGCGGCGGCGGACAGGCGCTTGGCGGCGCGCTGGGGCGCCGCCCGCGCGGCCCAGCCTCGCGTGTCCGAGGGCGCTCCGCCACTCCCCCCATGGGCGACCATGCGCCGGCGGGCCTGGCTCAGGGGGCCCACGGCGAGCTCCGCCGAGGAGGCTGCCTCGCCGACTCGGAGACGATCTGCGGGGTGGAGCGGGCCCCACGATTATTTCGTTGTGGAGCGAGTTCCCGCGCGGGGCGCGCGCTCTGGAGCTGGGGCAGACGCTGCCTTGCTGGCCGCCGCCCGCCAGGCCCGCGCCCGAGAGGGGCTGCCCGAGTCGACCTCGAAGGCGGTGGCTCAGGGGCCGTTGGCGACGCTGGTGGGCGCCGGGATAGATGGCAGGCAGGGGCAGGCTCAGCGAGGGCTCGTCACCGCAGGGGCCCCGCTGGAGCGCCGCCTCGCCCTCTCGGTACTGAGCCTCGCGGCGGCTCGCCTGAAGGCCGCGAGCGGGCGCTTGCTGGCCACCCCGGCGCCCTCGTGGATTGCGGCGTTCGCCTGCCGCCGCCCTCCCATAGCGGTGCTGGACCGCATCTTCAAGATACTTGGCGTGGCCGAGGCGGGTTTCAAGACGCGGAAGGCCGAGGCCGCCGCCAAGCTGGGCGCCGTCTACGGTTTGTCGACGCCCGTGAAGGATGAGCTCGCGCTGGCGTCCGCCCTCGCTCCGACGGCGGTCACCGACGTCTTCCGCCCCGTGCGATGACAGGATCTACGCCATGGATGCGTCTCCGTCGGACGGGGCCGTGGTGAGCACCCCCGCTCCTGCCAGCATGGTCGCCCACCTCTGGCGGTGCGTGGGGCGGCGCGGGGGGTACCCCCGTGTCGAGTCCCCCTGCGCAGTGCGCAATTTACTTGGCCAGCTTATGCAGGCCCGCCGAGCATTGACTACTGCGCCGCGGTTCCCCCCAGCGACCTCCGCCATCGCTCTCGCGCTTGGCCGCGCGCCCCTGCCTGTCTACTCTTCACTTATCCCAGCTCCAGATCCACAAACCACAAACGGCGACGGGCCCTTCCGCCTTGGAACCGAACAGCGGGCCTACAGTTTGTGAAAGAGCGGGCTTGCTGCTGGCTAGAGGGGAGTCCCCCTTTTGTTTTTATTGATCATTTGCGATTTCTACGGCAGCACGCCCAGTATGACATTAGGTGGACGGGAAATTGCGAATGTGGAGAAATCATTGATTCAGTCAGCTACGCTTCAGGGTCAACCATAAATCCTCAGCATTAAGGCTCGGGGGCAACGTGAAACCCTTGCCCGCAACTCGGGCTTTTCCTATTATGTCACAGCCGCCTCGCCATGTTTAGTTGCTACGGTTCGGGATCAACCATGAATCCTTGTCACTCTCTCTTTGGCATTCCTCTCGAATTTGTTACGTCATCCATCGTCGTTCTCGGGCATTCCCCCCCACCTAAGGTTAAGCGTCAAGCAAACAACCCTGCACACAGAACGGGCACTCATGTTGGGCTTTTTGCGTCATGTCATGTACACGTGAGCAATTTACCCACGTGTACGCCAGGATGCACACGCTCAGCAGCTCTCACTTGCAGCAGCACACTTACCCTGGCGTTGTAGCACGGATCTTATTGTGACGGTGCGACATACGTATCCTACACGTTTTTTTTCTTGATTGAGAAGGTCCGTACCGTCACTGTGCTGGAGTGTCGAGGCGACAATCGCCACAGATCTTAAGGTTGTTTCCCTATGACTTTTTTGCGAGGAGGAGGATGTGGAGGAGGAGGAGGAGGAGGAGGAAGAGTCCAACTAAGGTGATTGCAGTGCAAAAAAAGGAGGGAGAGGAGGAGGAGGAGGAGGAGGAGGAGGAGGAGGAGGAGGAGGAGGAGGAAAGGGAGGACGGGAAGCAAGCCGAGAGCAGAGGAGAGAAGAGGATTGGGAGGGGGGAGGGGAGGATGTAGACAAAGACGAGCAGGAAATACGAGGATGAGTTGGAGAGACGGGGAGCAGGAAGAGGAGGAAGAGGAGAAGGAGGAGGAGGAGGAGGCGGATCAGGAGGAGGAGGAGCAGGAGCAGGAGCAAGAGGAGGGGCAGGCACAAGCAGCAACAGGAGCAAAGCAGCGACCCCGCGGGACGGAGCGCGCGCGTGCGGAAGGTGATCCCGGCGCAGGGCGTGATGCAGGTTGGGCGCCCCCCCTCCACCCCCCTGTGGGGGCAGACGTGGCGGGGCGGTGCCCTGGAATCCGGGGGCTCCGTGAGTGGGCCGGCTCCGCTCGCGTCGAGGAATCGGCGACGATCGACCTTGGTCCAGATTTGAGCGTTGCAGTTTTTGCACCGGGCGTTTCCGCCCAGCTTCGAGCCCTAGGACCACCACAGATCGATCCGACACGAACAGTACCACAGAAAGATGGGGTCCAGGGCTCTGGTCGATCACTTGCTGGCTATTTTGTTTTTCCCAGCCATGTTGTGGTTTTGGGTTCTCGTTTTGATGAGACAGTCCCCGCGCTTCTTCCTCTCCTTCCTCCCCCCTGCCTCCTCCCATCATCATCATGATCGTCATCATCATTATCATCATCGTCATCGCCACCCATGCCGGCCTCCCTCCTCTTTCGGCACACTCCTCAAATGCTTCGTGGCCCCATGGGGAGCTCCACCGCAGGTCCCAGTAGGAACGCCCGCATGCGTCCGCAACGCCCAGGACAGCGCCTCGTGGCCCCATAGGGAGCTCCACAGAAGGACACAGTGGCACCGCCCGCATGCGTCCCCCCCGCCTAGTACAGCGCTTCGTGGCCCCACAGGGGGCCCCACCGAAGGTCCCAGTGGGACCGCCCGCATGCGTCTGCCACACCCAGTACAGCGCTTCGTCGCCCCATGGGGAGCTCCACCGAAAGTCTGGGACCGCCCGCAGGCGTCCGCCACGCCCAGTGCAGCGTTTCATGGCCCCCTCGGGAGCCCCACCCAAGGTCCCAGTGGGACTGCCCGCAGGCATGCGCCACACCCAGAACAGCGTTTCGTGGCCCCATAAGGGGGCCCCACCGAAGGTCCCAGTGGGACCGCCCGCATGCGTTTCCCCCACCCAGTACAGCGCTTCGTGGGGCCCCACAGGGCGCACAACCGAAGGCCCCAGTGGCACCGGCCGCATGCGTCACACACACACACACACACACGCACACACACTACGGCGTTTCGCGGCCCCGTAAGGGGGCCCCACCGAACGCACCAATGGCACCGCTTACATGCGTCCGCCAAGCCCAGTACAGCGCTTCGCGGCCTCATAAAGAGCACCACCGAATGCCCCAGTGGGACCGCCCGCATGCGTCTCCACCACCCACTGCAGCACTTTGTGGCCCCAAAGGGAGCTCCACCGAAGGCCCCAGTGGGACCGCCCGCATGCGTCCCCCCCAAGTTGCGTTGCTGCTAAGTGGGCCCTTGTTCTGCTAAGTTGACCTCCGATGTGTGTGATCAAATTGATGGTTCCGCCTTTTGCTTCCCCTGCACTTGCTCGGCATGTTCGTCTCTCTTTTGTTTTGCCTCGCCTCTTCATCTCGCCTCTCCTTACAATTCTGTGCGTGATTTCGCTGGCCGTGCGTGCGCCCGTCCTCCTGAAGCGCGCCCTTTTTGTCTCCCTGGCAACGGCTCGTTGAATGCGTCCCGCTTACAGATCGGCTTGCGCGTCACTCTTTCCAGGGGAGCTGCGAGAAGTTGTTGCTCCTTCCTCCTCGTCCGCCTTGCTCTCGTCCCGCTCTCCTTCAAGTCTCGCCCCATCTCCTCGTCGTCATCCCCCACTCCTCCTTCCACCCCGTCCCCCATTCCACTTCCTCCTCCGCCGCCGGCGGCCTCTGGGCGGCCTTCGGCGGCGACCGGTGGCCTTGGCGGCGCCCCTTCGGCGGCCCTGGGTGGCCCATCGGCGGCCCTTCGGCGGCCTTCGGATGCCTTTCGGCCGCCCTTCGGCGGCCCTCCGGCGACCCTTCGGCGGCCTTCGGCGGCCCTCGGAGCCATTGCGGCGGGGAGGAGGAGGAGGAGGAGGAGGAGGAGGAGGAGGAGGAGGAGGAGGAGCCCTCGACAGCCCATCGTTGCGGCAAGTTTTGCTCCCGCCCTGGCTGACGGCGCCCACGACGGCTGCCTGGGGCGCGATGGCGGACGGCGACCGAGGCGAGCGACGACGAGGGAGACCTCGACGACGACGGCGACGACGCCTCCGACGACGAAGACCACAGACGACGACGACGACGACGACGACGACGACGACGACGACGACGACGACGGAGACCTCGTCGACAACGGCGACGACAACGACGTCGATGGACCCAGACGGAAGACGACGACGGACGACGCACGACGGAAGACGGACGACGACCGACGACAAAACGACCGAAAGCCGATGACCGACGAGGTTCGAGGCTCGGAGTTCCAGAACTATTGTCGCCGCTTTCGGCCCCCGTGGGCCCTCTGTCGGGCCCCAGGTCCATAACGTGTTGACACGGACGTTTTGAACACGGTACGCGCTGCAACCCAAAATGGGCGCATCGAGGCAGCTAAGCTCCCAGCAGCACGAGGCCCGCCAGAGTCGCGTCGCCCGCGCCGATGAGCTTTGCCAGGGCCAGCGCCACCAGCGGCATGGCCCCGAAGCAGATCGTGGTGAAGACGATCCTTTGGCAAGATCTCCATGGCCGCCGGCGGCCGGCGGTCGTCGTCGGCGAGTGGCGGCCGGCGGGCGGCAGCTTCTGGCCGGCGGGCGGCGGGCGGCGGGCCGGCAGGCGGTCGGCGGTCGGCGGGTCGGCGGGTCGGCCGCGCGCGAGCGCGCGCGTCGCGCGCGCGCGCCCGCGCCGCCGCGGGCCTCCCGCCGGCCGCCGCCGGCGGCGGCCTCCGCCGGCGACGCCCGCCTGCCGCTGGGCGGCGCCGGCCACTGCCGTGCGCCTCGCGGCCAGTGGCCCGCGGACGGCGGGCCGGAGCTTCGCCCCCGCCCCGGCTGGATCTTGAGTTTCGAAATCCCCGGAGGGCCCCAGAGGCCCGAGGACAAGCAAAATTCTCCAACGGCGCAAGGAAGAACCCCGACCTCCGATGCAGTGTTTTTTTTGGGGGGGGGTCAGTGCGCGGTCCCCATGGGGTCCCTCCCCACCGACCATTTCCCCCGGACTTGTGTTTCATCCTGAATAGTTTCTTTGACGGCCTGGGGGCCCGTTGAAGGCCCCCGGACGCCGAACGTCGCCAAAAAAACCTTCTTGATATCCATATACATAGATGGATATATAGATATATAAGTAGATAGGTATATATATAGAGATATAGATAGATAGACATATAAACATATATATATAGATAGAAAGATATGTATATTTATATCGATCGATATATACACATATATATATGTACATGTGTATATATACATGTATATGTATATATACATAGACATGTGTCTATATGTATATATATACAGAGATATATAGATGGATTGATATATAGATAGATCTAGATCGATACATAGACATATGATATATAGATATATAGATATATAGATATATATAGATATAGCTACATTTATACATATATTGATATAGACATATATATATATATAGATATATAGATAGATAGATAGATAGATAGATAGATATAGATATATAGATAGATATAGGTATATATATAGATAGATAGATAGATAGATAGATATATAGATAGATAGATAGATAGATAGATATATCGATATATATATAGATAGATAGATATAGATCGATAGATATATAGATATGGTTGTTCAAGACGTCGGAGGTCCAAGAATCTCGCTCCTCGATCCCCCTGGGTAAGGGTCGATGACAGCGACGACGACGGCGGCCGCGGCGGCGCGACTCCCTCCCCAGACCGACGACGGAGGAGGGAATGGAGGGAGGAGAGGAGGGCGAGGAGAGCGGGGAGGACGAGCGAGGCGGACGAGGCCCGTCGGAACGGTAGGGGCGGAGGTCGGCCATCGGCAGATTTTCGGCGGCCTTCCGCGGCGATCGGCGGCCTTTTCGGCAGCCTTCGGCGGCCCCCGGCTGCCCTCGGAAGCCTTTCGGCGGCCTGTTGGCGGCCCTTCGGCGGCCCTCGGAGGGCTGCCCTCGGCGGCCCTTCGGCGGCCCTTCGGCGGCCCTTCGGCGGCCCTCGGCGGCCCCTCGGCGCCCCTTCGACGCGGTAACTTTCGCTCCCGCCCTGGGCCCCGACGCCTGGAGGCCCCCGCCCCGGCGCCCCTGGGGCCCGAACGTTGCCCGAAAACGGTAAGAACATTCCGAGCGTGTCCAGAAACTTTGCTCATCGATCCTCGAGGGTCGGGGCAACGCTTGCCGCGACGACGACGACGACGACGACGACGACGACGACGACGACGACGACGACGACGACGGCGGCCGCGGCGGCGCCGACGGCGGCTCGACGCCCTCGCCAGACCTCCGACGTCCAAGATGATTCGCACGCGGGGGACCGCGGCGGACCTCTGGAGGCCCTAACGTCTGTCGCACCTCGTTTTTCTTCTGCTTTGTCGCTCGGACGTCGGAGGAGGCAGGGAAGGGGAGATGAGGGGGCGGAGGAGGAAGCGATGGGACGATGAGACGACCTCGGCGAACGGATCCGCCGCTCGGGGCTACGGCCGCATTGCCAGCGCCGTCCGAGGGAGGGGAGGTCAACTGGCGGCAAGCCCCGAAGGGGCCGAACGAACACCGGTGCCCTAGTTGGTCGGCGAACCGACCACGAAAGGGGACCGAAAGACAAGCTAGGAAGAGCACCGAAACCGCCCCAGGAAGGACCCGAAGGACGGGGAAAAAAGAGAAGGGGAGAGGAGAAGGTGGTCGGTGAGGCTTCTTGGTGGCTTGGTGAGGCTTGTTTGCAGCTGTGATCCAGCATCTTCTAGAAGTATTATCTTGAGGGTTCCCTGATCTCTCGGTTCTCTGAAGGGATTTGCCCCTTGGTTGCAGATTTCCCCCACTCCCGCAGGCCGCGTCGGCGCCGATCCGGCCTGCGCTCCGCCCCCCTGGGCGACAACCGGCAAAAACTCTTCAAACAAGCCTTCAGGGAACCCTCAAGATAATACTTCTAGAAGATGCTGGATCACAGCTGCAAACAAGCCTCACCAAGCCACCAAGAAGCCTCACCGACCACCTTCTCCTCTCCCCTTCTCTTTTTTCCCCGTCCTTCGGGTCCTTCCTGGGGCGGTTT